GCGGCCGCCGGCCCGCGCTGTGTGTGTAGCTCTGCGAACCCCTTTGGTCCATCTCTTCACACCGTGCCCGGCAAGCTGCCTGTGGGCCTCTCTCTGTGAAGAGCCTCGCAGAGGCCTGGTAACGGGCATACGTCTTCCCATGTCCTCCTGCTCAGTGTAGTTTAAGATACTTCTGACAGTACGTCTAGGTCCAGATGTGACACTTTTTTCTCTAGGGCTGTGTGTGTAGCTCTGCGAACCCCTTTGGTCCATCTCTTCACACCGTGCCCGGCAAGCTGCCTGTGGGCCTCTCTCTGTGAAGAGCCTCGCAGAGGCCTGGTAACGGGCATACGTCTTCCCATGTCCTCCTGCTCAGTGTAGTTTAAGATACTTCTGACAGTACGTCTAGGTCCAGATGTGACACTTTTTTCTCTAGGGACTTTTTATGATCCTCTTATTGGAGTTAGAAGCTAAATTTTGTTAAGGAGTTTCTACAGTAATTTGGCGTATAGGCTGAAACTACCACTACATCCAAGCATATGTTGCAAGACCTGAATAGCACGGGGTTAATACACATGTATAATCTGAGTTGTCTTTTATTAAACAGTAGTTTGCCAAAATGACTAACACAAAGGGGAAGAGGAGAGGGACACGTTATATGTTCTCGAGGCCATTTCGTAAACATGGTAAGTAGCTTCTGCTGGGGATACTAGCATTCTTAACTGGGGATGTCGAAGTATAATTGTTTAAATGGTTATACATAGGCTCCTGCCCAGCTTCTGGGGAGCTGGCTGCTGCCCCACATTGCAGGTGTATTTAACTGTAACTGATGAATATTTCAGTGCTGACACAATTACCAGCTTTTTAACATTTCTCTTCTTACAGTAATGAGTTTAGTCAGTGGCTTTTCCTAATAAGACATTCATGCGTTATCCATTTCTCAACATTGTACAATAAACGTCCTAATTGAAGAGACCACTGAAAATGCAGAACAAACTGCTGCACTATTCGCTGCTTTTATACAATAAACAAAGTTGTTTTCATGGCTAGCTGCCTTTATCTTGCATGTTCTCAGATTTTGATTGCACAGTTTTTTGAGTGTTTGAAAATAAGTTACAGTATAAATAAAACACTTATAATTTTTAGTGAAGATAAGATGAGAATTGCTTACAAAGGGGGAGGAAGGAAATAGTTATGTTTTGGGAGTACAGACTTAAAACGTCACTATCAACAAGTTCAAATCACTATTAAAAGGCAATGGCATAGTAATTACACAGTTGACAATGGGGAGAAAACTTACTGTGCAGTATAATTTCTACTGTGTAGTATCGTCTTATAATTTTTACACTGATCAAGTTACAACTGACCTTAAATTAGCCATAATATCTTAAAATGCACTAGTATTTAATGTGGAAAGATAAGAACAGTCGTAGTTGGCTGACAATAGGTAGAATCTAAAAATGAGCTGCAGATACCTACATACGCATGTGAATGTGGGGCTCTGCGGACTTGCAAAGCTCTAATAATAGGTCTGTCTAGCCCAGTATCCTTTCTCCTATCAGTGGCCAGTGCCAGTTTCCCCAGAAGAAATGAACAGAACAGGAATGACTGGGTGATCCATCCTCTGAGTCCCATTCCTATCTTCCGGCAAACAAGCTAGGGGGGCCCTGCCCATCCTAACTAATAGCCATTGATGGACCTAGCCTCAATTTATCTGGTGTTTTTTATGGTTAGTATTGATGGCTACGTCTAGACTGGCATGATTTTCCGGAAATGCTTTTAACTGAAAAGTTTTCCGTTAAAAGCATTTTCGGAAAAGAGCGTCTAGATTGGCATGGACGCTTTTCCGCACAAGCACTTTTTGCGGAAAAGCGTCCATGGCCAAGCTAGACGCGCTTTTGCACAAAAAAGCCCCGATTGCCATTTTCGCGATAGGGGCTTTTTTGCGTAAAACAAATCTCAGCTGTCTACATTGGCCCTTTTGCACAAAAGGGACTTTTGCCCGAACAGGAGCATAGTATTTCCGCAAAAAGCACTGATTTCTTACAGTAGGAAGTCAGTACTTTTGCGGGAATTCAAGCGGCCAGTGTAGACAGCTGGCAAGCTTTTACGGAAAAGCAGCTGATTTTCTGGAAAAACTGGCCAGTCTAGACACAGCCTCAGTTTCTAGTCACTTAAACTTTTTCAGATGAATTGGTTATATGAGAAATACAGTTTTGAGTAAAGATGATGATTCTCTTGTGAAACTCCGTTTTTCCTTCCCATAGGCGTTGTCCCTCTGGCCACCTATATGCGAATCTACAAGAAGGGCGATATTGTGGACATCAAGGTATTTTCTACAATCTATAATTAGATGAAATAATGTTTTCAAAAGCATTCAGTGGGAAACATCAATGTTGTACGTATTTTTAAAACAGTTCATAATGCAAACACTATTTAAGGGACCGTTTGGTTGCTGTAATAGCTCTCACATTCTGCATGTTCACTGGAGATTGATGTCTGGAGGCTAAACATCTTCAACAAATAATTTTACCTTTTTTTAATACAGTGCTTGGCATGAACCCAGCTTCATGATTGGGTCTTCCTTGGATGCTACTGCTATTCATGTATCAATAACTTTTTTTCACTCTTAGCCAGAATTTTACCTCTTTAGGGGATGGTGCTTAACTTGTACTCAAAATCCTAAATACAGGTAAATTACTTGGGGAATCTGTATATTAAAAGAGTGAATGCATGGAGATGATATCAGTAGACACAAAATCAACAATACTGTTGCTTTTGCACTGGATATAGAATTTCTTGATAGAATTATTTTCATTTTCCAGTATGTAAACATTTGACAAGATTTGCCTTTTTAGAGAAAGCTAATTGATGCAAACACCTAAGCTTTATGTGTAGTTTCATGATCTTTTGGAAAACTGCTCTACTTCAGTGTTGCTGCATCATGACATTCTGGAGCTTGATGATGACTGTCTCATGTGATTGCTTTGGTAATAGCAAAATGAGCAAATCATTTCACCGGCACTGAAAGCAAACCAGGATTGTCAAAAAGTTGCTTAATGGATTTTCAGATATCATTTAAGTATCTTAATGCAAACCTGTAAACATCTTCCAAGAGAGCCATAAAATTAAGAATGATCTCAAATGTATACCCTATTCTCCACATTAAAGCTGTGTAGAATGGCTTTCACTTTATTTTAATGGAGGTTAGGTCCATAAAAGGCTATTAGCCAGGGGATAAAATGGTGTCCTTGGCCTCTGTTTGTCAGAGGCTGGAGAGGGATGGCAGGAGACAAATCGCTTGATCGTTGTCTTCGGTCCACCTTCTCTGGGGCACCTGGTGCTGGCCACTGTCGGCAGACAGGCTACTGGGCTAGATGGACCTTTGGTCTGACCCAGTATGGCTGTTCTTATGTAATGGTCTTACTCTATTGTGGTGTGTGTGGTTTTTTTTTTTTTTTTTTAAACAGGGCATGGGTACTGTTCAACAAGGTATGCCTCACAAGTGTTACCATGGCAAGACTGGAAGGGTATTTAACGTTACTCAACATGCTGTTGGCATTATCGTAAACAAACAGGTTAAGTAAGTGTCTTAACTTTCCCCTTTCTGTGAAACTAGATCTTGAAAATAAGACATCCCCTCTTTCACTTTGCCAAGTAGACATTTCTTGTCTTCCTTGGTCATTCAGCTGGGGGTAAAATAAGTCCTTTTAAAACTCAAGCAAATGATGATTGTTTGACTTGGATCCTGTCAGAGGAAACACTAGATTCTAAAGAAGAATGTGAAAAGTTCTGCTGGCTAGCTAGCATATTTATATTAATTTAAAAGTGTTTTAAATGTCATTTTTGAGTTTAATAAATTGGCATAATGCCATGTAGTCACTACAGTAAAGTACATAGACTACTTATCCCTGGTCTTATTGATTGTGGGTTGAACTACTGTAATGATAGATGATACAACTATTTACCTATGTATTACAGAGAAGACAGTCATGTCTTGAAGAGTATTAGTTCTGAGATAATATGAACCATGTGGTAACATACTTTGTTCTCGAAACTGATAAAAATTAAGTACAATAGATTCTAAACAAGCTTTTTCCATCAGGGGCAAGATTCTCGCCAAGAGAATTAATGTGCGCGTTGAGCATATTAAGCATTCCAAGAGCAGAGACAGCTTCTTGAAGCGTGTGAAAGAGAATGAAAGGAAGAAAAAGGAAGCAAAAGAAAAAGGCACTTGGTTTGAACTGAAACGCCAGGTATTTGTTTAACTTGAATTAATGATGTACTCCTGACACCTAAAACACAGAAACTGCTTGACTGTAAATGAGTGAGGACCTCAGACACTAGTGAAGGGATAGGGCCAATAAATTAATGCTTTCTGTCTAGATTAGACTAAGCTTAAGTGGGAGAAACATCAAGTAAACAAATACTCAGTGTTTAAGGACAGGTCTGTAGAGGGGAGGGGTGTGCTCATTGTAGATGCCTGTAGGCTGACACAAGAATTCTGTTGACCTGGCTTACCCCTTTTCGGCATGGGAGTTTGACTAAACTGCAGCGGCTCCCAACCTTTTCCAGATGGGGATCCATTTTGACAAACCAGGAAGACTTGGTGACCAAAGCAATTCAAAAGGGGGGTGGGGAGAGAAGGGCAGAGCCTCCTGGGGGGAGACATTTCAAAAGGGTTGCCAAGTAATGGTGACCCATATTTGGGTCCTGACCCATAGGTTGGGAAACCCTTGGACTAAGGTAATGGAGGAACTCCTATAGCTACATTTTAGTAGCACTGGGAATATTTTATTAAACCAGTTTGGAAATGCATTACTAGAATCTTATGAATAGACAAACTTCACATTTCACATGATATATTAACATATATAAGCCAATTCTAACTGCAAACTAAATTGAACATTGGTGTCACATTAATGGTTACTACTATTTTTGCTTACAGCCTGCTCCACCCAGAGAAGCACACTTCGTGAGAACCAATGGCAAGGAGCCAGAGCTGCTGGAGCCAATTCCCTATGAATTCATGGCGTAGTGTAATTTAAAGAAATAAAGATCTCTAGGACAAAATGTGACTGGTTGGTTGCTTCCAAGGATGCTTTCTGAACAGATGCTTTAGAAAATCAATCTTCATTAAATTACACTTTCTGGATTATGAATCAGTTTTGGGAAACTTATTCTGTACATCACTTAAACAGGTGTATGTCAACCACTAAGCTTTGCGTATGCCACTGATTCAGGTTTAAGATTTTGCTAGGGTTATTTTTAGTAAGTCAGGTTGCAAGCAATAAACAGAAATTCAAGAAGTGCATGACCTGTCCCTGAAACTTACTAAAAATACAGAGGAGTAGAATAAAAATTGGGGGCTCTGGTTAGGGGCTGAAGTAAAAGGTCAGAGCCTGATAAAGTCCAAATCTGTGACCTTTGTATCCTTATCAGGGCTTGACAAGCTATAGCATCTACTTGCCCATGGCAAGTAGATTTCAGCTGCACGCCCCATTTACTGGTGGCGCGCGCATGCGCAATGCGGCTCTTGCGCATGTGCAATGCGGGGCTGGCAAGCCGCTTTCGCTGCCGTTTGTCAAGCCCTGCTTATCACGAGTGTCCTTTGATTGCCTAGCCTAAGGCAAGATGAGAATGCACTGTCAAACATACAACAAGCAGTATTTAATGTGATATACAATCTTTAATTAAGAAAACAGTTTAAGGTCTTATTTACTTGATGGGTAGCTTAAAATGACTCGCAGCTATATGAGGCTTACTAGATGGAAATCTGTTTAGTATTTAGCTGATAGTTATGGACAGGGCTTGACAAACAGCGGGGAAACCTACTCACCAGTCTCTCATTGTGCATATGCAAGACCCATGTTGCCCATGTGTGCACTGCAGGTGAACAGGGCGACCAGCTGAAATCTACTCGCCATGGGCGAGTGGATTCAGTGATTTGTCGAGCCCTGGTTATGGACATCTAAGTATTAATTAGGTTGTGCATAAAATCTAGTTTCAACATAATTCTCAAAACAAGGTTAATAAAACTATATACAAACATGAAGGTAGAATTCTCTTCAAGAGCAAATCCCTCTTCTAAACCTTGTGTAACCTAAACCCCTTTTGTGCTCTTAATATCAACATACCTTATCAGTCTGACAAGCATAGCTGTTACTTGCACCCTTATTCACCAATTGCTAAAGCTTCCCTTGAGTCATTCAACACTTGCACTCTCAAAATCTGGTGTGCATTTAAAAATTAGATCAGCCTAGCTATGTCATTAGGTAGTGAAAGATGGCATGTGATGTAATGGGGTCAGCTATTCTCACTAATCACTTGAATAGATACAGCTCAGTTGATGGAAGAATTCTTCTGGAGAAGTGGATTAACTACTTTTGATAGTGTAGATGCTTTCTACATTAGGTGTAGCACCCTAGCATTAAAGTGCCATAGTTGTGCTGCTGTAGTGCTGACATTCTCAGCACTACTGAAAATAGCATCTTAAAGATGTGCTTCCTAAGCCATCAGCACTGACCTGAAATCTATACTTCTTCAAGGAAAGTGCTGAAAGAATTCTGTGCTAAGGACTCATCCAGGGCATCCTAAAGTTCTCTGGTTCTGAAGGCTCCCCTTGAGCTGCATTTTTTTGTGGGGTACATGATTAGGGATGTTTCATATTGGTTAACTCAGTGTTTCCCAACCAATGGGCCGTGGCTATAAGGAAAAAATACCGGGTCTCAGCGTGGCTGCCGGGAGGGGAGCAGAGCAGGGTAGGCTCAGAGGAGCTG